CGAATGGCAATCTCTAGCTTCTGGTTATTTCATTCTACACCGGTAGTATTTACGCGTCTGGTTATTTCAGTCAACACAGAAAACATTTATTGCGCATGTTCTCCAGATAAGAATAATCTGAGGGTTATCAAGTGATAATTGTTTAAACGGAATTAAAAGGTAACGTTATGTTTATTTATAACGGTCAACCCTTTTCTTTATATGGATATATGCCACCATCACCTGTGGATATTGATTGAAAGCGTCCCAGCCATTAAAAATATAAATCATTTAACGATTTAACGACGGACAGAAGTTACGACACACGACATCTTGGCTAAAAAGAATCTTTAAAATATAACAGCGCATTGAATATGATCAAAATGGCATACGAGTTGTGCTATCGTTGAAAAATAGCGTCACTGTAAATGCTTTTCAAGGTGCCGTCACTTCCGGTTCATTTTCGCGTATCTCTATTCACCATGTCGCGTTAATTGGAACTGTTATTTAAGATTTGATCCTTGGGGCGACGATATCCCACCTCAGACGAGAATCATTACATAATTTGAATATGGTTCCAATATTCCATTAGCTGGTGAGTATTTTGAATTGGTTCTAATTTGACCCGTAGCAAATGTCGATTGGGGGTCTTCACTCTGAAATTCTGAATTTCTACACATTTTGAATGAAACTTTATGTAATGTATAAAAGACTATTTCTTTCCTAAGGAACATAAATCTTGATAGCACAGAACAGCAGACAAATCACAGTTAGATGATTAATTTCAGAATTAGAAGACTTTACCGAGAACGATTTGACAAGATGTTCTTGCATTCTTGTGATGCATGCAGAGATAGATTTAAGTTCCACCTAACACAAACTTGACCATTATGAGGCTAACATATGGTACATCTTTAGTTAAATACTTCGCTTGTCTGAAGGGGCAGTAGGAGGAAACCGCAGAAAATCGACGAAGTTAGACAAATGACCATATTCCACGTCACGTAAAACCGGGGATTGAAGCTTGACACAGTTACCGACGTTATGATCCGGGGCTTATTTTTAAGGTTCTATTGGCGACGCACGGTTTCCGGTGTTTTTGAGGTTCCATGAAAATTTCCAGAATTTGACTTCCGATAACACGCTTACACTTTTATAACCATAATTTAACAGAATTTATATAATTAGATTTATAACCGTTTGTCAGTATCATTAACAATCCACAGAAACATCCAAAGGCAAACGGACCTTCACTGTCACCTGGACCTCACGATGTTCTGCTATGTAATTTTCGTGCATTAGGTGGTGGTGTGAATGAGTCAACAATACAAAACTTTTGAAACAGAAATGGTCGATGAGCATAATGATAGCTAAGTTTCCCCATACAATTTTACCAGATTCACAAGACTCCATAGCATTTTTTCAAAGCACGGATTTCAGATTTTCAAAGCACGGATTTTTTTATCCAGAGGCACGTTAAATTAGGCCCTGTTGCGATCTGAAGCCACTGTATGTTAAAATCCTGCAACATCGTTTTAATATGGAGGACAAAATATAAAATAATAAATCACATGGACAATTTATGTCAGTCAATTTGTTAAGCTATGGAAAGACAATTTCGGAACAGTGGGGGTTTGTACTTTTATTATATTAATATTATGCCTTGCTAATTTCCAGCCTGTATTTCCTCACAAATATATTATAGCACCATCTATTTTAAAGTGCAATCAATCTCACCAGAGATTATGTTAGACTTAATAGTATCAGTTGTTCCCAGGAGTTAGCAAGATTTGCCATAACTTTAAGAAAGACGCATGTTCGGTATATACAGAAATACCTGTGTTTCTGAAATAGATATGCAGATTGCAGATTTTAATTTGGATGGTAAATATCGTTTTCTCTGCAGTTTGGCTGCCTGCAATCCTCCCACCACCCTTATATGAAACACCCCCATAATTTAGGCACGTCTACCATACAGGATTAATTGAGAGATGTATACCTCATCCCGTAAGCTAAATGATTCGATTATAACGTTGCAATACATGTACAGGAAATAAACATTGGGTACCGGTAAATGGAAACCGCGTACATTATATATTTTAAATATTGTTTGCAAGCTTTATCTAATGAGGTTTTACTTTTAAAAAATATAAAACAAAACACACAAAACTAAAAAAAAACCAAAAAAAAACATTCTCCATGTTATTTATAACAGCAAATGGCTCACAAATTATTACACAATAACCTTTATATATTAAATACATCATATCTATATAACACAAACTTCTAAAACGGGTTGGGAATCATATACATCATAACACATGCATTATAGTAGTTATATACTCATTTCATGTTGTGAATCCGTAAAGAATTTGTCATAACCTTGACATCCATGGGAGCAATCACTTTATTAAAGAAATGTCTTTGGATAATGTATGAAAGTGACTAAAAAATTCATTAAAGCAAGATTTAAAGATAGGTTGCCAGGCAAGGAAACATATGCCAAGCGAATCGACCACATTTCGATGTGGGCGTATAAAAAGCATCTTTGATTCATACTGAAACTGTCGTTCTTTCAGAAGAATTCTTGTTCTAGATTCATATTGTTCAGCGCAGTGTTTGGACTTTGACTACAGACTACATTATTAGTCTGAAAGGCCCCCGGATCCATTCACTTGATTTGAGAGTACTTTTGTTGTATATTGCTGTCTATCTTGTCCGCCGGTTTGTCTTATTGGTTTCTGTGTTATACACTTCTCCAGCACTTACAATTACGGCATGTTATAGTTATTTTAAGTACTCGTTTATGGAAACCGAATGCTTCCATACAACCTGAGAAAGTTATTTGTTCAAATCTCCCTAAAAGCTAGCACATTGAAGGGGGTATACGCCCACGGTTCATTAAAGCGTATAACGTATTACACTACAATCTGACTCCTAACCGTAAGTTTGAAACCGTGTAATAACACGTGTATAAAGAAATCGGAAGAGGGTGTGATCACATTTCTGTTCACATTGGTTTTATTGAAAGAGAATATTTCAGTAGTTTTATCTGAATCAACCAAGGCGTTAAAAATAGTTTTCCAATCCATCATGATAAATTAACATGAAAAGATCTTACGTTACCAATTAATCTTGCTAATTTGTCATTATTAGATTTCACATAAGAAAACGCTGTAGTTAAATTTTATTCATGTGCCGATACTGGTTCGATATTTAATGTTTTACTGAGTGCAAGAATATTTCATACTGTACTTATTGTACCGGAAACACGGAAAGAACAGGTTCTTATCAGAGAAAATCTAAACACGGTGGATTTTTAATAAAACCGAACTCAGGTGTATTCCATTCTACATCTATAGATGAAAACTGGTTATTGTTGTTTAGCCAGTGATAGTTTCGCACTTAAGAATTTACACTGGGATCACATATAAAATTATTCTTCCGAAGAAACTGCTTCAAGTTCTTAAACAATGAATGTTCCATAGTGTTTACTGCACCCTTCCTGTTTCTAAACCTTAAAGCTCATTATACCGTCTTCGATTGTATTAACCGACGGCACCTTCCCCTTCGATCTTCAAGTAAAGTGTAAACAAAGAATTGACCGTGCGGAGAGATACATGCGCTGCGTAATAACAAACCATGTTCTCATTTAATTGAGGGAGGTTTTTTGGCGCCAGCAGCAATTTCTCGAGTGTTAGAAACTAAATAGCTGAAATCTTAGGGATTATGCAAACATGCAGCTGACACAGGATTAACTCATTCAGTTGCTACTTGAGTAAATCATTCCCTGTTTTATGTCAAATCCTCACATGAAGATGTGATTTCCGTACAAACATATTTAAAAGTCCACCGACGCCTGCTCTATGTAACAATTCACTCCTTCAAAAGGGGTATAATATTAATATGCGCTGATGTATAAATTTGCTCAATTGAGATATTGACCATGTACTATGTCTAATTTCGATATTAGTCTATTTTAAATGCCAATTAAATATGCTTTGTCGCTATTTCATTTCGATTCCATTTGTTTGTAATTGTACGTGGATAATTCTTGCTGAATTTAGATACACTTGGTCTTCTAATTGATTTTTATATTGTATCGGAGTTGTGGTCAAAGTCAACATCTGAATTGCATGATGTTAAGTCTCGATCATCTGAATCTGGATCATACAATAATAAGATAGTTATAGCCTGAGTATTACGAGGGGTAGGTAACTCTACTGAACTGAGTGGAAGGCCGGTATGTTTATAAGCACAATGGATTCTAGGAGAACGCTAGATCGGAGACGGTCTAGCACATATGACGTCATAATGTGGAGTGTGGGTTGGGATTAGGGTAACGGTTAGGGTTGCAGATTTCGTCAAGGTCTCGAAATGTAAACAGGGCTAGCGCTAACCCTAACCCTAGCCCTAAACCTTACTCTAACCCTAAACCACATATGACGTAATCTGTGCTAGACCGTCTTCGATCTAGCGTTCTCCTGGATTCTAACCAGTGGCCAAATATTAAGTCCAGAGGACGAATTCCGCAAAATCCAAGTAATGTCACCCAGTGAAGCAGAGTAAAATACTAACTATTCACGTAACTTTTAGACATGTAGGCCTAGGCTACTGGGTATAAACAATTCTCGCTAATTTTAATTGACCAGTGTTGAATTCGTATTAGCATGGGAGCCGTGGTGACTTAGTGAGTAAGGCACTGGTCGCTAACGTGGAGGCCCTGGGTTCGATCCCGGTGTTGGCCGAGAATGTTCCTCGGGATATTCCGAATCCGAATAGACCATTGTTGCTGAAAGTAGGATTTAAATTCCAATTCATTTCATTTCCATTAGCACAGCTTAGTAGTCTGTATGTCAGTTTACATTCTAGTTTATAATAGTTAATGCATAGTAAAGATTCTTGTTAATTTATATAACACCATGCAAAAAAATAAAATAATAACTTATAGGTCAACTACAACAAAACACAACAAACTATAAAACACAGCAGTCAACCAATCAAAAAATAACACGTCATACTTGACTACACAATCCACCGTGTCCATGGTCAGAATCGTTCGACGACGTATCCTGTGATGACGTCAAGGAATAATTTGCTGAATCACGTCTTCCTATTTCCGGTTTTTTAACCAATAAATGGACGGGTCTTGGAAATAAATACTCTTTGTCTGTATTATTGTAATCTAATTTGCCATTTGCTAGTTTATTATTTCCAATAATAGTTTCTGGACTTACACTTCCATTCATTGAAGAGTTTGACAGGGGGGATAAATCTGATGGTGATTTAAAAGTACTACACTTGCTGTCGTCACTGTAGCCCGAGCTACTGTTTTGTCTTAATGGGCCGTCTGTAACACCTGCCCTTAATGGCGAATCACAAATATGGTTTTTGAGGTCTAAATTGTCTAAATTTACTTTTAAATACACATCTTCACACTGGGGTTCTGAATTTCCTTGTTTTCGTTTTAAGGAATCGTTACTAAACGACCCAGAGCTTTCTAGCATGTTATTTCTCTGTTCTCTATAATTATTAGCCGCACGTGATGATTCGCGCACTTTGTCTCTAAATGATGACATTAATGTCGGTAAGTGTTCAGAAGCCGTGCTACAACTAGCCTCGTCAGAACACGACGATAAGTTATTTATGTTAGTACAGAAATCGGGTCGATCTCTTAAACTGTTTCTATATTCACGAGGCACTGAAGTCGAGGCCGAGTTTTGACGTAACAGCCCGTTCGAGGCTTGATTATTTTGTTCCTTATTTTCCGGGGGTCTGTTTTGGGTTCCCGTATGTACGTCTACTTTAACGTTCACGTGATTCGGTTCTACAATTACAGGAGTTCGTGATCGTGAACGTGCTCGTTTGTCGTCGACACCTAAGCTTGTGCGTCTTGAATCCTCGAAAGTGACCCGCGCGCCATTTCTGCGGGACATTTTCTTCTTTACACCGCCATTTTGAATTGAATCCAAATCAGTTGAAAACGTTTCATTAGGGTTCTCAGACGTTTCTGTAATATCATCCTCTGACATGGAAGGTTCGCGGGTTTCAACCAGAATACCGTCGTAAGTCGGAAGCGGTGATCTACTTCTTGGAACATTCATCATCTCAAGTTCAAGTCGCTTTGAATCGAAAGTGGGGTTTTTGACGACACTCTCCTTGCCGATCATAAACACAGGTTTCTTTAAAGGCACGTAGTCGAGAATTTTAAACTTCCACTGTTGTTTGATGGTAAGAACACACCAAAACGTGATCCAAAATAACATATAGCTCACTTCAAATATCACACACGTTAAAACTAAACTATCATTGGATAAACGATAAACCGAAATCAAATCATATAGGACAGGTCCTTTACACACAACCATTATCACCAATGCAACCATAGCGCATGTGTGAGGTATGTAACCACGGCAGCCACTGTGTACAATGACAGTTTGTTTAATGTACGTTTCCGGGTTGTGTTTTCGGTCAACAATTTTAAACTTTTGGTGAAAATACATCGAACCGTACTCAAAAACAGTTATAGTTGACGCGACTAGGACGAACCCACCAATGAAGTACAGCGCCGCTATGGTGGAACACCCTAATGAAACTGTAATATTGTGATACAATGGGTTGTTATAGCACACTTTATACAGTACTGAAAACCCACAAAATCCAAATATGGAAGTTAAACTCATAGCCAATAGCTGAAGGGCAAAGACTGTAGTTAAAACCTTATTTGTAAACCAAAAGACTGCAGCGTATCTGACGGTGATGGCTAATAAGGCCGCGCCAAAATTGACGAACCCAATAGTTAGAGAGTATCTCTGGGTCAAAATGGAAGATGGCGTCCTAGACGACGGCACGTGATATGTCTCGTTAAACACCATGGATTCATTAAAGCTAGAACGGATATCACTAAGATGAGCTCTGTCTGGATCAAACAGGAAGTCGATGTCACTCGTCCAAGCAGCATCTGAAAATAGAAATTAATAGATATTCGTTAGTTGTATAAACACTTAATTTCAGATAATTAAGTAAATATATTATGTTCTCAAATTGGTGTCAACGTTTCATCCCTAGGCCTGTGTAAGTAACATACAGAAAGAGTGCTACCGATCTTTTCAGGCTTGATGGGTTAACAACCATTTTGACCATAACACACGGCCAAGAAATGATTTTCAAGGCATGCAAGGTAAACGCAATTTGCTCAGAAGGCAATCAACTTCAAAATGTGTTTTTGAAAGAAAAATGACGGGTGTTAATAAAAACCGTCGTTTTCGTTTATTTCAAAGAGTATGACGTTATAGACAAATTTGTATTTAAACTGAAATTACTTCAGGTAGAACTAACAGATTGGAAGAAACGTCTCTATAAGTCCCGTTCATCACATCTTTAATTGACTCATTATAAACTGTAGACTCGATTATCTACAGTTAATCACTATAGAGACCTTTGTATATAAATGTATAGGAACTGGTGTTTGTGTTAATAATGGCGGTGATTAGGCAGTTAGTCCTACCATTGATTAGTCTGGGGTGGGATATTTCTACCCGCCTGTAACTTGTTCAAGTAAATCTTGATGATTAATGCTGACTGAATGGAGCAAATATAGTTTCTTTAGTCGTTTACCAGACACTGACCATCTTTAACTTTGTTTAACGTCTGGTCAATCCTAATACAGTTATATTGGTATACAAACAGTTAAATACACTTAAAGAATTAAACTTGTAACACACATTTCATTTCATTGACTATTAATTTTTTAAGGGTTAAGGATAAATAGTAACTGAGATGTAGTTTTTATGGTACCGAAAGAGCTTTATTTCCCTGAAACTTTATCGAATATTCGAGTGTCGCTCGCTCTACAAAAGATTCAGGATCTTGGTTTGTTCTACAGTCAATATAGACGTTACTTTGGTTCTAGCAGCAAAAGGCCTAATGTCGTAACTGGTTTAATAATAGATCTTGCAAAGAGCAATGTCGGAAATGACCAAATGAACTTCAATTATAAAGTGGGTTTAAGGGAGCAAAAGCATACACTGCCATGTTACTATTTATAGAGGTACTAGCACATTGATAGATATTATTGCCGGCGATATCACATTGGTGGAAGCGGATGTTCAATAAAGCTATTTCACACACACACCAATATAAAATGTAACAGGAAATTTATCGGTTGTTTTTCTACAGTAACAAACTATCTATAGAAAAGATAAATCTTGTGTGGTGTTGATTGATTTATCTACATGTTCACATCTAACTAGTTGAGACATAGACAGCCAATCAGGATGGATTTAACGTCCTAGAATTAGAACCACATCCATTCCATTGATCAACGACACAGATTGAGCAATCACGAGGATTGATTTTAAGATTGAACAATGATTGAACGCTCGATTGAACTATAAGATTAATGTTTTGTTTACATGATGCGACGACATAATGTACAGATTGAGTAACATATCGACCAGATATGCGATTGATCGTCCGTTAAAAATCAAACGGGGAAGAAAAAGTACATTGATTATTTTAAAATGTACACACTCGGTATGTAGTAGAATATTATTAATCAAAACCCTGGAAAACGAGCCAGTCTTATTAATTGGTAATTTCGAAAAATACAAAAGAGTGCTAATGCAGAAAATGCTAGTCAAGGAAACTTGCTAAATAAGAAATGGCTTCAGACGTTTTAAATAAACGTAGAGAAGAGGTTGATCGGGATTTAGAAAACCAACGGAATTGCTGTCCCATAAAACTGATTTCGAGCGGGGGTGCGTCTCCCCAGAAAATTGCTTCATTGATATTGGGCTGGCTTTGAGTGTGAAGTACATATATTAATTTATTTTACAAAAGGTGGTGACTTGGCAAGCTTACTCTTTCTCGAACACCCCATGTCACTTATCATTCGACTCATCGTTGAGAGGCATGTTGTCTTGTCGTTGAGTCATGTAGTTATCAGCTTCACTCCAAAATTAACATTTTTGTTTTATCGATTTTGTATTTGTGTTCTGGTTGTTTTTTTGTGTAGTTATGATGCAATGTCTATTATTGTATAGCCTGCTGTAGTGCACTAGACATGGCATGCTTACAAGTTTTAGAATAACTGATACCACCTCTCATTTAAGGAGCATAGCAGTTATTTTGTATGCAAACTTTTGGACTACTGGGCCATGTAGCTGGGGTCTAAATGAACAGGAGGATACCGAAATACTGATGATATATCCCTTGGAGCGATGCCTTCCAACAAATCAATTATTTTCTAACAGCTAAAACCCAATGGTATGTAAGAACAGCGAGAAGACATGGATCCGAGGTTTATAAATCAGAACGACCGCCATATTTAATTCTGAAACGTGACGCACCACACGTTTAGGGCTTCATCGTATATCTTATTAATTGTCTTGTATACAGACGTGAGACTAAACAAGTCGTGATGCGCCCTTTTAATTAATCCGTTATACAATAAAATCAATTGAAATTACATCCGGTCATGAAATAAGACAACAATGGCGTCTATTTCGTTTCAGAAGCAGACTTACGTAAATTCTATGATGGTACAAGTAAAATCATTTTCGTCGAACAGTATAAACTTTATCGATACCAAATTAAATCGTTTGTTTCATACTTAATTCCAACCCATCTGCTTGGCCTCGTCTATTGAACGCTTCTAAGCCTCGAATCCGGCAGCGAGTCAGGCCTGTGCACAGCAAAACTCCCATTTCCGCAATTGGCACCATTGTATTTGTTTATGCAACACTCTCGATTCGTGGCTAATTATAAAGCATCGTTTTCCAATGTTAACGCTTGTCGCTGAATACTCGCTTAGGGGGTCGAAAAACACCGACGCTAAACAAAACTGGTACCAAATTTGCACTGACATCTGACGCCTTCACTGGATTGTTCTGATCTGACTGTACCGAAGAGGATCAGATGCACGTCTCAAAAATTACGCTTTGCTCACTAAATCTACTTTTATAAACATGACTTCTCCAGATCTTTTGTTTACGACGATGTGAAATACCATTATAGGTTTCTCTCCCTTCACCAGATGCAAACCGTCAAAAATTGATATGTTTATGGTCTTACAGCATTTCTTTAGTTTTATACTCTGTTAGAAAACATGTTCTTATTTCTTCATTTGACATATAGGTTTCACCACCTTTGTTAATTTGGTACTAGAGTTATTTTTTTCCTTGCATTCTCAGAAATCTATACTTTTAGGTCGTAACGTAGATTCTAAATTTAGCCGAGTTCTAGTGTACTGACGATTAGCTAAGAATGTTTGTCTTCCACAAATTGGTGATACTATTACCTGTTGTGTTTGTGAATTAAATTTGGTTTTCAGCCAAATGCTGGTTAAAACTCAATGATATACAATGAATATCCAATGTAAATTATAATACAAGGTGTAAGCATACTATGTCCCGTGCAACACACACAGCAACATTGTAAAACTATTTAACAGTTTGGATTTGGCTTGAACATGCATTTACGTAAATTCACGGCAACCTTTACATAATTAGCAAACAAAAACCTGACTTTCAGACATAACGTCAACAGCCTTTTTGGTTGAACTAAGCAGTTGAAATCACAATTAAATTGTTAAAAATTCAATTAAAACGGTAACGAATAGTAACACCCGAAGTCTACCAATATACCAAGTAAATATCATTAACTAAGTGACATTAACAGAAGGTGCATGCTCCTATAGTAAATTAGACGACAGTCACATTCCCTACTATCACCAGAAAGATCAATTTAAGAAATTGACATAAGCAGTTAACAAACAGATCCTACTACACACATTCATTTTAGTTTCAAATGAAATTAACACATTTTCAAAGATGATCAATAAGTCTTTGAAATAGAAAATTAAATTACATGTGGTTTAAAGTTCTCTTTTCTGCACCGATTGGGCTAATGAAGGCGGGCTAACGCCATGCAGTGTGCTATGATGGATGTTTTGCCCGAACAGTTGAACTACGGCCTACTCCTATTTCGAATTCTAACTGTTAAGGGTTCTTTTATGTGCATGCCAATGTGTACACAGGACATAGGTTTTTGTACCATCTGAACGGATATACACCGTCACCGTCCTGTACCACTTGCAAGAGGAAACCACGCCGGAAAATTGCGAGGAACAAAAATCTTTGAAAATGTATGCAATGTTAACTAAGACCCAGCATGGACCAGTAAAATATTTACATTGTCGACTGAGTCATATAAGTTGAGAATTAAATGAAATCCAATTTTCAAATGATTTTGTTTCCTTCAAATTAACAGATCCCAAAGCAGAACAGCAAACCATGGAAACATATTTGGTTTAGGTCCACATTCTTCGTATTGCGGTTGATTGGCAAACAACAATAGCACTATGTTGATTGACCACGCTCGAAATCCGTAACATGTTTCAAGAAGGAACAATTCAATCTGCAGAGTTCGATTGATATCCAATGAATTAAATACAAGACTTTCTCGCTGACACTTAACAGAATTAATGTCAAGAGTCTGGTCAAACTGGCCCTGGAGATTTACATAGTGTAGGCAATTCATTATATTTAGTAAACGGAAACCCATGCTTTTAGTGTGTGGGAAGGGGGCGAAGGGCCGGTTTTGTTAAATTTACTATAACATTAGCCCCCACAATTTATTTCACTTGTTTCCCAGTACCACTAAATGATATAAGAGGATCTAGATTGTAAATGAGTCTAGACTACAGATATATCGGTACATCAATACATTATATAACCCTTTTCTTCTACATATACAATAAAACATATGGTTTGTATTGCATGGTGACCAAGACTAATGTAGTCGAGATCAACATGTATCAATAACCTTATCTTGATTACATGATACCATATATCACGTTTCTTGAATGTGTTTTTATTATGAAACAAATGCCATGTTTTCTAACAAAGTTTCCATTGCTCCTACAGAATAGAGTTCCTTTATACATAAACTAGGTTATCA